TTATAATTTATCAAGGGGTCATGTGGGGGTGGGGGAAGAGGAGCTGATACCAAGGACTCAGTAGAAATTAGAAAATAATGATGGCAACATTTGTATAAATATGCTTGAGACAATTGATGTATGTATTGTTATAAGAGCTGTAAGAACCCCTAATAAAATGATCTTTTAATTTAAAAAGAAAAAAAATGATAGAAACCTTTATTAAATAAGAATGTCAAGATGTGAGCCTATTTCCCAACCGTTCTTCGACCGAGGGCTGTGCACATCTGATGGCAGTGTTTGCATCTGTCTAACGCTCCTCTGATTTACACTAGGACCAAATGGCGGTGTGGGCATGTCGGAGGAACTCACATTGCGTTCCCTTTTGATGTTCTATGAGTGTAGGAAGCAAAAGGGAGTCCGAAGGGGCAAGATCAGGGCTGTAGGATAGGACGGTCCTGGCTCCCCTTGAAGGTACATTGCTGTGATGGACATAAATTCTTCGAATCAACTTATCTGGTCTTTTTCTCAGCAAGGCAGTTTTCCATGTCCTTAAAACATGTTCATAATGAGCCCCCATGATCATTGTATGTCGTTTGAGAAATGTCTGTCCAGATGACCCCTTTGGAATCTCAAAAACAATCACTATAACCTTCTGAGCTGACTTCCCTGTCCTGAATGGAACTGGCCCGTCAGATTCCTCTGGAAGCCACTGCTTTGCTTAGACCTTTGTTTTGAGGGCGGACTAACAAAACTAAGACTGTGTGCTACTGAAAGAACTTGTCTGCATCCATCCACTGATTCCAGAGACATACTAATACACCTAGTTTGGAAGAAACCCAGGCATGTATGAACTTGAACCCTAATTTCAATGTTGTTGTTTTTTTAATTTACCTTCAGGTATGAAGCCCTGGGGATACAGCAAGAGAAAGATGTGGCAGTCTGCTTTTGTAAAGATCTACAACCTCAGAAATCCCATGGGCAAGTCTACTCTGTTCTCACTACCATCGAGTCCATCTGACCCACAGAAACTCAATAGGACAGAGTAGAACTGCCCCTGCACATTCCCAAGACTTTAAATCTTTTACAGGAGTAGAAAGACTGAGAAACAGCTGGTGGTTTCAAACTGCTGCCTTTGTGGTTAGCAGCCCACTAAGTAACCACTACACCACCAAGGCTCTGTGTGTGTGTGACATATACTTACTTTCCCATTTTCCCCCAAATGGTATTATATATATATAAATATGGTATTATACATATGGATTATATGTATTTATATATATAAAATGGTATTATTTATTTTATATATATATTGAATATATATTATATATTGAAAGGTATTATATATATTATATATAATATATATATATTGAATCCCCCCCCACACCTTTAAAACAGTTCCTGGATTTCATTCCATGTGAGTCCATTAAAAATGTCCTCTTTTCCACACAGCGTGTAGAATTCTGTCTTGAGCTATAACCCACTACTAGCATGTGGGTTCTGACACATAGGAACCCTATATAGGGTTTCCAAGGCTGTCAATCTGTAAACCTCGACTTTGAGGTTAGCAGTTGAACTCTATACAGTACTTTAATCAGCTCTCAACTGATAAACGTGTGGTTTCCCATCTTTTGCTACTAGATTAGTGTAGGACAAGGATTTCTATTTTGTGCTAACTCCTCCAGAATATTTAAGCCTTCCTATACATGTAGAACCTCAATGAATGAATGGATGGATGGATATGTGGACAAATAAATGTTGAATGAACCACTGAAGATGAGGAAAAAAAGCAAACCTTAAGGGAACCCGCCGGTGCGTTGTGCTACGGAGACGTTCCACCAGGGGGCGCTACAGGTGGCGGGCGCGCCTGGTCAGCAGGCCACGCCGCTCTTGCCGTCAGAGCCGGCGGCGACGCGGGGACGGCAGTGTGGGGAGGACGGGTCATATGACTCGCTCGGCTTCCTGGCTCTGGCCGCCGCCGCCTGCCCGCGTCTGCCTGCGCCGCCCCGGGGCCCCGAGGAGCCGTTGGGGGGTCCGGGCCGAGGTCCTGTCTTGTGGAAGCCGCCGCCGCCGCCCAGCCGCCAGCCTTCCCGTTTTCTCTCCCGGCAGCCATCATGCTGGCGCTCATCTCCCGCCTGCTCGACTGGTTCCGCTCGCTCTTCTGGAAGGAGGAGATGGAGCTGACGCTGGTGGGGCTGCAGTACTCGGGCAAGACCACTTTCGTCAATGTCATCGCGGTGAGCGGCCCCCCCTCCACCCCTCGAACGCCGCCGCCCGCCTGTCCACCGGGTCGCCGCCTTCAAGGCCGCGGCTTGGGACTCCCCTCCGCCCCGAGAAACAAGTGGGGAGTGGTGTGGGGGTTAATCCTGCCTGCCACTTCCCCCAAAGGTTAGCTTTGGGAAGTTCCCGCGTTGTGAGGACCGCGGTGTCGCGCTGAGACCGGCTGCGGAGGGGTTAATCCCATCTAGCCGTCGTGGGGCTGTGTCCCCAACGCGCCCGGGAAAGGGTTAAATTAAAAGGGTTAACTTTTGTGTGCAACTTTTGCGGTCCGGGCTTCCCGCGGGTTGGCTCGGTGGGGGCAGGTGGCCGGGGGGGTATCTCTCAGTGCTGGCAGTGAAGTGAGGCTTGAACCCTGCTCAAGTTGCCACTTGAGGTGAAGAGCCCCTTTGTAAAGGGCGTAGACTCCTTCCTGGATTCCGTGGGGGACTTATCGCTTCCAGTTCCCTAGTGAATTCTTCCTCTTGTTTTACCTCATCTCCCTCAAGAGTCCAGAGCCTGCTGATGGTTGAGCCCACTGGTCCATTTGGGGGAGGGGGGGCGGAACCCGTGTGGCCACAGGGCCCCTGTGGTTCCGGATCCCCTTCTGGATTTGCAGTCAGCCTGCAAGTTAATTGTCTTGAAAAGGAAGGACCGGCGTTTGAGGGTGTCTGTCACTTGAGAAGGGATGAGAGAAGCACAGCTTATTTCGGGGTGCCTAGGAGGGAAATTGCCCTGGGACTTTGTAGTGTGGTGTGTACTGAAAAAGACGGAAAGGCTGAGTTCACGTTTTATCTGGCCGAAGAAGAAATGGCAGTGGAAAGATTCACAGCAGCATTTGGAGCTCAGGGCTTGCTATGACTTAGGCTTAACTGATTAGGGTTTGTCCGTCCCAGGGATGAGCAGCTCTGGAGAGAGAGCCAGGAGCTCTGCCACCTTTTAGATGACTGTTGTCATCCGTATTTACCAGGAGACTAAGCTGCCCAACTGGTTTGGGTAGAGGAATGATTCAGTCATGGGTTCCTGTAGACAAACAGCTTTTAAGACTTGCAGAAAAAGATGATCGATACTCACACTTCTTGGAGGAGTGTTGCATAAGTATGAAGAAATTGTACTAATTTGTTGTATGGCTCTTTTTGTAATGCCCTCCTCTTTTGAAGATGATTGTGTTTCCAAGAAGTATAATGTGCAATGAGTATCCAGATACCAGGAAAATTAATAAGCATGAAGTAGCCCGACTAAATGGTTTATATGATAAAGCCTACTGTAGCTTGAGTGCAGCTAAGCTCAGTTAAGGGTAAATATTCTGGTATTCCCTTGAGATAAGAATTGGAGTCAGTTTGTAAATCTTGTCTCATTGAAAGATTGAATTGACGTATGTTTTAGAAAGGTGTGTTTACTACAGTGGTTGCATTTGTGGCAGAGAAGTAGTTATATGTGGGAAACAAAAAAGTTGAGTAAGTCAATCTTTGAGAAATTTCTTGTTAATTGTCATGAGTTGTTTTCTGTGGACCATGTAACTAGTTTGAAATGAGCTTGCGCTTTGAAGTTGGGTAGCTCTGGTTTTGCAATCTGGCCCTGCCTTGTATCCTTTTGAGTCTTTGCTTTTCAATCTAATAAATGGGGAGAATACTATGTTCATTACAGAGTTGCTCCAGGGATTAAATGAAATTGCCGATTCACGGTTCTAGCACTGTACCTACCCTCAGAAAACAGAAAACTCACTACTATCCAGTTGATTCCAACTCATCACCA